ATCTGGATCTCTGAGCAGAGAGGTATGAGCTTGAACAACAAAATCAATGGTCCTGAGCTCCCTCATCTGCTCACTTCTTTCTGACCCACGCTGCCCTTGAGCTCAGGGAACTGTGCAGGCACCGTCTTCCATCCGAGCCTGGTGCCCACGCTCATCTTGTCTCTTGATGGCGGATCCGCCGGGTTGGCGTCTGTGGACACTCGATCGATGTATGCGAAGACTCGCACATCAAGTGCCAGCCTCCAAAACACACCGGTGTGCTCGCACATGTCTTCGCGAGCCGAGTATCCCTCCTATAAGGCGCCCTGAACCGGTTCAGAATCCACGAACATCAAAATCCACTTATTCAAGATTTCTGCGTCAAAAGTCCTAAGAGCCACAACGACTGCAAACATCTCGACCATAGCTATTTGGGATTTCCTTGGCAACCACCTATCTATGAGCTTCTGGGGAACTCGAGCGCCGAACTGCAGCGGCTGCTTTCCCTTTGCGAACAGCACGCCCCCGATCCAAGGAAAAAGCAAGCTGTCCGCCTTTCCTTCGGGAAAGCTTCCGTCAGTAAAAAGCACTGCGTCTGGCAATTTGGCCTCGAGCTCCGAAATTCTTCTGGGAGGACCCTCCCGGACCAGTAAGAGCCACTCACGAAGTGATGCTATCAGAGCTCGGTTCAGTGAGGTGGCCGCAGTGAGGTGGCCGCAGACAAGGAGTACTGTCTTTCCGACAGCGCCCTAAGGAAAGCGAGGCCGATCTTGCCCCAGAGTTGCGACGAGCCGAACAACAACTTCCCTCTGAGCTTACCCGCCTGTCCGGGAGTGAGCACACCGCAGTTCAGGATGGCAATAATCTCATCGGCGAGCTCATCCTTCCTGTCTTGCTTGATCAACAGTTGCATTGCTACCAGGTCATAAGTGACCCCCAGGATCGTAGGTTCCTTAGAGCATTGCAACTTTTTCTGGTCGAACTTTGCTCCGAGCCACACATGAACAGCCTGAGCAGTAGTGAAGGCCGACTCTATGGTCGAGGATGGCTCGAATCCATATTTGTCATCATATAAGTTGAAGGCCGCCACAAGAAAAACCCTCCTCAAGATGTCAGTGATTGCGGCCGATCTTCTGTTATAGGTGTACACGGCCGACACTAATTCGAACGAATGCCCTACCATGACAAAGAAAGCAGGCCGTCCGTCTGAGGGATCCCTCATGCAGATCACACTCCAGCGCCGATGAGACGGGTGGATAGCCACTTGGCGATATGCCTTGCGCTCATCGAGCACCCAGCCCGCCACATCTCGACGATCTTGGTGGCTTTGTTTATGCCATTGACCGTGGCACTATCCACTCCACGAACCTTGTTCTTTTGCACGACTTCAAACCTCTGAGTGGGAATCCAGGGATCACCGACCAACTTGGAGACTTCTTCTTGTGTGAAGAAAGGTCCCATGGTGAGCCCTTCTTGGACATCCTCGAGCATGGCATCCCACACCTTCTGTGTGTGTGGAGAAACCTCGCGTTTGAGAACGTTCCGGAGCACTTTTTGTCGGAATTCCCAGGCCCTCTCCTTAAGCTTGTCGATCGGCAAACAGTCCCGGGGCTTGTCGTAGGGCGCCCAGCGATGAGCCGGGTGGATGTCCTCCACAATAGACATGCCAGCTGTCATTTCAGCGACCAAGTCAGTGTCGATCGACCTAGCCTCAACCATAAGCGCTTGCCAGAGAGCAACATGCGTGCAACTGCCCAGCTGCAGGGGACGATCATCAGGGCCCCCCCGCAGCAAGTGGCGGAGCCAGGTGTCTGGAATGGCCCGCAGAATTGCATCCGTGGCGGGCAACAACTGGTGAGCCCGAGCCTCCCAGTGAAGGAGAGCACGAGCGCGTTGTGTCCGGAGCCACTCGGGGTGGTACACCGCAAGAGCCAGGGGCTCCTGGAGATCCGGTTCGATGGCTGTGGATCTGGAAAAAGGATGAACTGTATTCAAGGCTTGCTGAACAGCGGTGCCTGGTTCCAGCTCGGTGTCGAGCAATGGAGGCAAAGCCGAACGCTTGAGCTGGTAGCCGGCTGAAGTTGCTTTCTCTGCTGTAAGCTGTTGCCGGTGTGGCCGCCATGGAACTGGCTGTCCGAGCGGACGCTTCCGCTCGCTGGCTGGGGTGACCATGGTGAACGTGAGAGCCAGGGGGTCTTCTGGGTGAACCGCTGCCACCGCCCATTGGCGGCAAAGCTCAGCCGGGTAGACCTGAGCGAGGCGGGTTCTGAAGACCTGCTTGCCTTGGACGATCACGGTGCCATGGAGCGCCTCATGGTGGTGTGGGCGCACATGCTGATCACACCGCTGTGCTAGCTGATCGAGGTTGAGTGATGTAAGCAGAGCGGTTGGCTTGAGGTGTGGAGCGCCGAAACGGCACATGTCAAATTCCACACGCTTGGAGCTTGTCTGCCTGTGGAGCTCAACCATTGGCGGCATGGCCCACAGGTAGGAACCCAGTGGGTTTTCAATGGACCAATGAGTGCCTGACCGGTGAGCTATTAGAGCAAACTTGACTGTGAGCTGCATCAAATGGTTCCCGATCTCCAACTTTGCTTGGTCACGAACTGAAAGATGAGGCAGACCCCACAACGCCCGTTGCGAGCGCAGCGGAGGAGGGCCCCCATCGTTTTTCCGTGCCAGGCTAAATGACGAGCACGGAGTACCAAAATGGATGTAAAAGATGAACCCTTGTTCCATCAGCAACTGGACGTGAGCTACGACTGCAGCATCTGTGACATCAGTTGGCTGGCGGACGAACTCATGCGGAGTGAGCTCAATGGGTGGTAGAACTGGAAAATTGAGAGCTGACATAGCCCTGGTCAAAACTGCCTCTCCTACAAAAACCTCAAGGAAAAACTTGCCCGACTTGGGCACTGCCATAGAGCCCCACTTCCACTCCGGATCTGTCAGAGAGGCGGAGATGCCCTCATCATTCGCCGGTGGGGCCGTTGGAACTTCAGGTGCTCAGTGGTTGCCCACCATGGGGTGAGCGGCACCGCACTTCATACATGCGTGCTTGAACCGGCACTTATCACCCATAGAACAGCCCATGGAGGAGTTGAAGTAGTGGCATCTCTTGGCACCCTTGACGGATTGAGCCGCTGTGGTGATGCTCTGCCACTCCGACGACGGGATTCGCTTGTCTTTGTCCGGAGGGGTAGGGCGATCGACCTTCGCCCCTTTGGCTGAGCTCTGTTTGAGCTGCTCTCGCAGGCGCTCGATCTGGCGCTTCCTCTTCTTTTTGCTGGGAGAGGCTGCTGACTTGTCGACGTGTTCGACCTTGTCGGATTGGCTCTCTGCCTCTTTGCGGACCTCTGGCTTCGAGAGAGCTGCCTTTGTGCGTGCATCATTCCACAAGTATTTGTGGTTGGTGAGCACTTCGCGAAGAGCTGCAGAGTAGGAGTTGAAAGCCTCCCGCTGCTCCGCCTGAAGGCGGAAAACCTTCTTGCGGATGGCCGAATCGGCCGCCATGACATAGGGGAGCCCCGGACAGTCCTGCCGGAACTGCTCCAGCTGCTGCAGGTAGTCGAGCGGCCCTGCATTGCGTGAGTACTGGCAGATGTTCAGGTACTCGAGCGCCATGAACAGAGCGTGAATTCGGTTGAACAAAGTGCTCACGTCTGTGACACTGTCCGGTTCTTCTGCTCGAGCAATTGTCAGCAAATCTTCTGCGTTCTTGGTGAGGCCGGATTTCTGCACAATCGTGTCTGCCCGGGTTCTGACCTCTGCCAAGGTGTAGAAGGGAACCATGCCTTGGACCAAGAAATCTCTGTTGAGCTTCTCAACAAACTTCTTGTGCGGTTCCCTGGCATCGATCAAAATGACATCTGGATGGGTCCGCACGAACCGTGCCCGAAATTCCGCATGATCTTCTTGTGCCATTTCTGGCACCTTGGTTGGATCTTCTTCCATGCGAGCTCGTCTGGATGCGAACTGCGTCTGGAGAGCCTGGCAGGCTAACCAAACTGCCGCAAGCTGCATGACCGAGAGGTCGCGCTCGGCTGGGGAACCCCCCAAAGTGGCTTCCGGAATCATTGTCCGGATCGAGTCTTTGGCCTTGTCAGCAGTGTCGCCGAGCATGGCGAAGACCTCGACTGACAGGAGACCTGCATCAGCCGCTGCGCGGCAGAGCCCATCACGCAGCGCATGGCGCCCGAAGATCTGTCGGAGGGCAATCTTGGGCGTGTGAGCTTCATCCGCGTACGCGGTGCGGTCGACCATTTTGGTTGCTTGAGCAAGCAGTCTGGAGCCAGGTTCCCATCCAGGGATGTCTTGTGCAAATAAACACAAACAAACTCTGAGATCGATGAGCACTGACTGTGAAAATGGACACATTGCAAGCGAAATCAAATTTTAAAACACAAATGCTCAGAAATTGATGCTCACTGACTGTGATAGTGAACACATCCGAAGTGAAATCAAATCAAGCAAACGTGCGTCCTGCACAATGTGCGCTCATTGTTTTCCCGCAATATGAAAAAACAGTTGGCACGATCTACGTGCCTTTGGCATTATACAACTTGAGCTTCTGGTCACAATGGTGACAAATCATGCCCGGAGCTTCGGGGCCGAACGACGTTGTATCCGACAACTTCATGCGGCCGCACACTGTATGCGTTTCGCTAACACTGCCTAACATGATGTGACATCTAAGATCGGAGGCCACCAGTGCCTTCGAGGGCAAGGTCGAGCGAACGACGAATTCCGGAATCTCGGGCTCGACCACCTCTGGTTGGTCCTCTACCTCGAATTGATCGTCATCCGGCTTCCAATCTTCGCGGAGCTGGGATGCCAGATCCTTGACCATTTGAGCAGACAGTTGTTTGCGTTTCCGGGCGTATTTAAGAACAAGTTGTGAGGGATCTTTCCAATTAGCTTGGAGGGCAATATACTTGTCATCGACTTTGGATTGAACGGCAGCGTCCAACATGGTTACCCTCATGGAATGCCATGTGATTTGTCCGCACGACGGCCCGACTGATTCGACCTGATCCGGTGTCAGGACACGATCGTGGCAGGCGACTTCGAGCGCCCGTGGCAAAAAGAATTGCAGCCACATGGCACTTCGCGGGTATGAAATTGGAACGCTGTCGAACTTGGTTTCGCTAGAGAGATCCCAAAGGAAGAAATCACGATCATCGATAAAATCCTGAAAAACTCGCCAGCCTAGCTCGAGCCATGGCACACCAGAGAGAGAGCAGAACGGCACGGCAAATCTCGTGCCCTTTCTTCTCCGCTCTACCTTAGTTTGCCAGATCACGCCGAGCAAAGCATCTGACGTGAAATTCAGAGATGTGGGCGCCACACGCTTACCGTCGTCCCATCTGAGCGACGCGTAAATTAAAATTTGCGCCCACCAAACAAAAACGGCTGCTGGGATCTTTCCCTCACTGATCAGGACTTCCACAAGATGCTCGAGAGCTAGCACCACCGGCATCGGAACGGGCGGCGCTTCCTTGAGCTCCTTGCCTCGGTCGGTATAGACCTTTTCGATCAAGGCCCCAACCTGAGGTGACTTCACATCTGGCGGAGCCATCGCCAACCTCTTGCAGACCACGCACAGCGTAGGTGAGCGCAGGGATGACCGCCGGACCGCATGACTGGTTTTCTAACCAGACGCAGTATCTGGTGAACACCTCAGTGGTGAGGGGGTAGACGGTGCAGCTGTGATCTAGCGCCCATCGCTCCATCTTCTCCCACACTAGCACGTTCTGACGGATCGTGCGAAATGCCCCAGTTTGAAAAACCAGAGACCTCAACGCTCGCTCATCACGAGCGCTGGCATCACCGCCCAGCACACACCGGTTGATCTCGGCGTGCGCCCCGGCCTTGCCAGCGATGATCCGTAGGCGATCTGCCCACTTGCTACGTTCTTTCTCTTCGGCCGACTGCAATGAATGAACGGGAGTTGCGGCGCAGTTCAACCTGGGTTTCTTCGGCGCGCCCACCACGGGATCTGCGGCGAGCACGCGCGAAGACCCGGAGAGCCCCGACAGAGGGGCCATCGCGCCCCCGCTCTCTCCATAGCCTATAGGTCGGTGGCGATCTCGCCCATGACCCGATCCTTCGCTCGATGGAGCATGTCATGGAGCAAAGGTACACAATCGATCACCGAGAGCACAGTATCTTTGTCTTCTTTGATCGGCGTCGATCACCCCTACGAACCTCGCGATCTGTTCATCTGCTTGCTCATTCGGATCGAGCGCCAACCAAAACTCCGATCTCGCCAAACCCAGTCTTTCCAGAGCTCGAGCGAAGTTCTGATCGAAGATCGGCAAACGCAGAAAAGCGGCAAACGAACGATCCATGGACGATAGGTGAGTGAGCAAGGTTCAAACTCCTAGTTGACCGATAAAGTCATGATCATGAAGTGTTCAATGAACAAAATCATAAGATCAAACATGACTGAACGATCGAGTTCAAGCCTATGCCTCGCGTCTTGAACCTCGGGACACCAATTGATCGCCAGCCAAAAACGAAGACCGCGGCCGATCAAACCGCGCGATCGTCCCCAACACACCGAACGCCCGATCCACCCCCGGCGGCGACAACCAGGGATCTTGGTCGCCACCACCCACTGAGGATCTGACCTGCAGCGTGCCGATCGACACACGTGAGCGCGGCCGACGATCGTCGAAAGACCGAAAGCGACAGACCAGAGTTCAGGGTCGCCGAACCCAAAAACGGGGGAGGGCCCAAGGAACCAGGAATCGAAGAACCCGGGAAAGTGGAGCCCCCCACCGTGGCCTGGTGCCGAACGAACCCCGGCCTGGTTGGGACGATCGTCCCACATCAAACTGCCATGAACATCATCAACAAACCATATATATATATACTATCCAAGGTATCAACCCTAAATACTATATTATATTAAGATATCAAAAAACAAGTGCTCGAACAGTGAATGCGCAACCAATGCATGATCATGCCAGGCTGCACTTTCGCTGTTTTCCATCCTTCAAAAAACGAATCTGGCGCCATCTGGCCATTGGAAAAATAAAGACCACGATCGGGTCCTCCGCTCATCACGAGCTGGTTGTGGTCGGCCCCAACGAGACCGGATCCGTCGTCGGTGCCGAGTCCCGGCTTTCGTCTGCTGGCTGAGCAGCCGATGCCTGTGTATACGGCTGAGAAACCGGAACCACAGTTGGCGACTTGGCTGGAGCCGGATGCGGCAGCTCCAGGTCGGCAGGCGGCAGATCCAACTCCTCGATCGTGGCTGTGGTCTCATTGAACCTCTTCTGAGAGATCTGAGCCGCGAAAACACCAGGCGTCACGGCTGCCGAGGAGCGAGCGTACCTCCGGTCCAGGCGTGCCTGATCACGTTCGTCATCAGGCTCATGCCCAGTGGACCAGACCTCAGCCTTGTTGAGAGCCCGGCGCGAGAGCTCATAGTCCGCCTGAGCCTGCGTGGATAGGCCAGCGACCGATGCCTCCCTGCTCGAATTGGCCTCAGCAGCCGCATGACCCCATGCTGCACCAGTGAGAGCTGGTGGGCCGATCGGAGCCACTCGACCCATTCCCTCATGCTGCATCTCAGCGAGAGCTCGCTGGTTCACGACTTCCGGCACGGCAACCCAGAGCTTGGAGGTGCACGTGATGTGGAAATTCCCCTTCTCGAGGTCGCCGATGAAGTCAGTGATCGAGCCCACCTCCTGCGCAGTCGATGCGACCGCATTCTCCCTCCAAGCTTGGTGAACTGCTGCAAGCTGAGCGAACTGCTCAGTGTGCTCAGGCCCCTCCACCCGCGCCCGAGCTTGGCGAACATTCTGGATGGTCTGAATCAGAGCCGGCCCGGAGATGTGTGACACAGTGAGCCAAGTCCCCGGAACCGAAGTGCGAGCACACTTGAGGTCGAGCCGGTTGTTGGCGTCCCTGAAACGGAACTCGACTCGATCTGCGTCATTGCCCATTGCGTCAGGTGAGGATCTGCTGCAAACCCTGAGCTCAAATCTCGAGCGAGCATGGTCACCTGCCACGACAGCTCCATTTGGCCCAACCGAATAGGTCCGGCCGCCGCACTCGAACGAGAAAACAGTGACCCTCCATCCCATGAACGAAGCCACCACGATGGAGAGCCTAGGCTTTCCCCTATTCGCCTCACGAACCAGCACCTCGTCAACGAACTGCTGCTGGACTGTCAAGTCCGTGTCGGCGCGATAGCCCCTGAAGATCCAGTGAAAGAGGATCTCATTCCCATTGTACACTTTGACATCAGTGTACGAGGCCGAAGTGTCACGGAGCAAGGGCCACGTGAAAGGCTGAAAAGCGGGGTGTGCCAGAGCTGTTGCAGTGTGGCGATCCCATGCCGCATTTGTGGCGCCCGTCTCCGTGTTGATCGACACCACCAGCACTGCCTTGATCCCATCCAGCGTGTAGTTGGCAAACAACGACAGATGGAACCCAGAACTGGGCGGCTTGACCTGGTCCCGCTCTGTCAGCACATTGATCGAGCTTGCTGCGTTCGACATGATCTCCTTGGTCAACCACGATTGGAAGGGTGACACCATCCTCCAGTCGCGATCGTCGACCATGATGATCGAGTTCTCGCTCTGATCTTCTTCGTTGTACTCGAGCCACTCAAGGAACTTGGGGATCTTCACCTCGAACGGGTTGTGAGCTGCACTGCTTCCGGGTGTGCTGAACGAGGCCCCCTGAGCTCCACCTGAGCCACGGCCGCTTGGCCACTGCCCTCCACGATCTCCACGATGACCACCGCGGTACGACATTTCCCAGGCCCACGAGCGATCCGCGGAGAAAAAAGAGAGCAGGCTCAAGATCTTGAGCCAAAATGGCAATGAACATTGCCATCTTGGTTGTGATCACAACTGAAAACGAATGCTCGGCAAATCTTAAATTGACCTCCTTATTCCAGACCTACCTAACCGTCAATAAGGAACCTAATATGTATATATGCATAGTATATACATGGCATGTCTCATCTATTCGGTCCCTTTTTTACACCAGCATCCTTCATCTGTACATCACTGAAGCATCGGGTTGGCGCTGAGGTGTCTATGCCTAGATAGTAAACTGCAATTGCCTGCGGCTACACTGTCTAAACTTGGGGCAATTTCGCCGCATTTGACCGTGCACCGCCTTGCTATTCGGGAAGTATCTCAGTTAAAGCTCGCCGCTTACAGAATGATCCTGACCAGCCAAAAGCTTGGATGTCAGAAGCTCAAAGCCTCATGGTCTTAGAAGTGCGCTTGTGCCTGGTTTTTTGACTTTAGTACTAAAAGAACCATCTTCCTTTGACTTACTAAAAGCGATGGCCTCCAACCTAACAGCGATGGCATGGTCTTTTGATGTCCTTTGGATTCCTTTGGACATTCACAGTTGGTCTGACTGGCAGCTTCCCAACAGGGATGTGTGAGTTCGCACAACGTGTCATTAACAAATCACCGTGGTCCAAGCCTTCATGGAGGACTTTCCGACACTCGGGAGTCCAACCACCACCTGCATGCGGGCAGCATGACAAACAAAGGAAGGAAGGAAGGAAGCTCTCTGCAGCACCTATGCCGAGCCTTGCCCTGGCTGCTCTGCCCTTGAACTGATTTCACTTTGAAGTACTCGCCCATCTGCGAAGGACTCAGCCTTTGATCCAACCCACTCATTCGACAAGGCCGTGAAGATTTGCACACAGGCTTCATGTTTCTGAGCTCTTCGACTCAAGGGCTTTTCTGAGTTCTGCGTACTTCTGTGCCTGGGGTAAGGCTTCCAACTGTGCAACAGGTCCTCATGCCTTGCCAAATAGTTATCTTGCTTTCTTTGGCTTCCCTGCCTTCATGCCCTGCTTCAGGTTGAAGGCATCTCTCCTTGCGGCAGCCTTGATCTCCTAATCATCCGTGAAGTCGCTAAGAGTACATTCAATCGTTTTGAACAGCTCTCAGCATCCGGTCGGTCGGGTCTACGTCGGCGTTCGACGTCTCAGCCGTGCCCCTAGTAACTTCTTTTTACAAGTAGCTACTTGCTCCTAGTAGCGATGCCAGGAGTCCCTAGTAGCGTCCTTGCTCCTAGTAGTAAGGCCAGGAGCCCCTAGTAGCTTCTTGGAATGCCAATGCTTCGTGCCATTCCGGGTGGCCTTGGCTTTGGCTTCCGCGCCCGCCGAGATGTTGGCGATGGCAGCCTGCCGCGTGGAACTAACGGCCGAAAGAGTCCCAAAAATGAATCTTTACCTTGTTACATTGTGAAGTCTATGAGAACCCATGTGAGCTGATATGGCCTTGAGAGCAATCTGAATGCTCGAAGCACTAGGAGAAAAAGACAATTTTGCTCAGATGGATCTTCCCGGCGTGGCACAGTTGCAATTTATATAATCCACCCAGGTTGGCCTGATTTTCGGATTGCAACACGGAGATGTGCTGCACAACCTGCTGAACCTTGCATTTTGCAGGTCTCAACGCCGAATGAAGACGTTTTCTTTGAGCATGTGCACGGGCGGTGCACGGGCGATGCACGGGGTGCCTGCTGCTCGTACTCATTCACCACTTTGGCCTGCTCCGCCACCTGGAATCTGAGACGAACTCACACAGTGGAATGAAAGAACGTTTGGAGGCCTGGACAGCGGTAATCGAATCCTCAAACTGTTTGGCGAAATCGACCTGTGAACCAAAGCAAAAATTTGGCCGGCATTGCTAGAATGGACAGCAAAACACTACGGCCACGCCTTCATGATCTCAAATTGCATGGCTTCAACATACCCTTGATCTTAGTTGTGCGATCCACGATGAAGTCGAAGTGCAGGATGCATGAGCAACAAAGCATTTGAACTACACATCTGTTTGCTGTGCTGAGACGGCTTTTGCAAGGTCAGGACGCCAAAGGGTGTGATTGATCTTGTAAAGCATCCTGGAAAGACAAAATGAGCATCCACAAGCGAAATGTCTTTGTCTTGGACATTTGGCACACAGGTCCTGGCAGCAATTACATCACGCTTTGACCAGAAGTCGGTGGGGGTGTACTCTTGAGCAGTGTTGCTCACCTGAAGAGGAACCTTCGAACCTCCATATGAATTGAAGATAGGGTGTTCCAGCAAAAAGATGCAAAAAGTGTATTAAATGATATTGAAGCGGCCAAACCTACCGCGTCTCGTCACTATCTTCCCTTGTCGAGACACGACATTGCCGGCCAGAAGGAGATAGCGTTGCCTGCCACAGGCGCGAAGCGCCAAAAAGAGGCATTCTCCAACGATGGTAGATAGAATGTCGGAACTAGGAAAGAATGCATATGTGTAGAGTAAGATGTGATGAGACCAAGAGATAAGCTGAGCGTACCAAGTGGTGATCTTCAATTCTGTGTGGCCTCGCTGCCTCAAAGCTGCCGAACGACAAATAGACCCTGTACGGACATCGGAGGCTTCAAGGGCAAAGTGTACGTGAAGACAAATGCTCTTGGGCATTGGGATGTGGTGTATATATAATTATTATATACATAATGCATACACATGTACCTTTACACGGAATGTCCCCTCCCATTGCCTCTGAATCATGTCAGGTACAAACCTGACCTGCACGGCGCAGGAGATTGAGATGGGCCTCAGGTTCACACTCAAATCGAGGCAAACACGGAATGGGCACGAGTCAATGAAGCGAAGACTGGGGCAAAGACTGACCACCGCTGTCAGGATCTTGTGGATCTGCTCCTATGACACAATCACTTAGTGTTCATCCACACGGCATGATACACCAGCCAAACTCTTTCACACTTGGACGTTGACAGCCTCCAGTACGTTTGGTGTCCTGTTCTTGTCTGGACAGGAGGCCGATCGCCGGACTTCCAGGACCACTGCAGCGTCCCCTGAGGCTCTCTTGCCGCTGATGTCGTCCAAAAGGTCCAAAGGGTTGGCACTCAAAAAACTTTATAAAATCCGCTCCTACTACTTATATATATAATATACTAATAAATAAGGGAGTAAGGTACTAGCTACTTAAGCTACTACACATGGACGCAGGATAGCTCGCGCTGATTTGGTTCCTAAACTTTATGACTATAACATGGACGACCCATGGTTGTCTTCAGTGCATATAGTGATACACAGTACGTGGGCCACCTGACATGGCTCCCAAGAGCTATCGGCTATTGAGAAGGGGTATATATAATTTCTCAGGACGGCCATGAACACAAACAATCGATGTGATCGGGCAACTGAAGCAATCTGGGGCTGATCTATGGGGCAGGACTGGGCCTGCGGCCATGCGCGCAGCACAAAACTCTACGAACGCTGGGAAGCAAATGGGATAAGTGCAAGTTGAAAGGGCTGGCCAGTTGACTCGAACTTGCCAAAATGGGGGGTGTATATATGACTTGTGGCCCAGAGGGGGGTGGCGAAAGCTAGGCAAATAAACAACGCTGGGGCTCTTTAGGCAGCAAAAGCCTGGCCGGGAATCGCAACATGCCATGGCCAAGCGAAAAGCAGAGTGCCAACGCCGCCCCCCCAATATGACCCCAACACAGCCAACACATGGCAACACACAACCGCCCCAGCAACCGCCGCAGCAGCAACAGCCACAACAACAATAACTGTAACCAGCAGCGGCAGCGGCAGCAAGCAGAAGCTTCCAAGCAGCAGCAGCAGCAGCAGCAGCAGAAGTAGCCAGCAAGCAGCAGCACCAGCTACCAAGCAGCACCTACCAAGCAGCAGCAGCAGCAGCAGCAGCAGCAGGAGCAGCTACAAGCAGCAGCAGCAGCAGCAGCTACCAAGCAGCAGCAGCAGCAACAACAGCTACCAAGCAACAGCAGCAGCAGCTACCAAGCAGCAGCAGCAGCAGCTACCAAGCAACAGCAGCATCAGCTACCAAGCAGCAGCAGCAGCAGCAGTAGCAGCAGCAGCAGCTACCAAGCAGCAGCAGCAGTAGCAGCAGCAGCAGCTACCAAGCAGCAGCAGCAGCATCAGCAGGAGCAGCAGCAGCAGCATCAGCAGCTACCAAGCAGCAGCAGCAGCAGCCAAGCAGCAGCACAGCCAAGCAGCAGCCAAGCAGCAGCAGCCAAGCAGCAGCAGCCAAGCAGCAGCAGCAGCGGCCAAGCAGCAGCAACAGCAGCAGCAGCAGCAGTAGCAGCAGCAGCAGCCAAGCAGCAGCAGCAGCAGCAAAGCAGCAGCAGCAGCAGCAGCAGCTACCAAGCAGCAGCAGCAGCAGCAGCAGCTACCAGCAGCAGCTACCAAGCAGCAGCAGTTACCAAGCAGCAGCAGCATCAACAGCAGCTACCAAGCAGCAGCAGCAGCAGCAGGAGCAGCTACCAAGCAGCAGCAGCAGCATCAACAGCAGCTACCAAGCAGCAGCAGCAGCAGCTACCAAGCAGCTACCAAGCAGCAGCAGCAGCAGCTACCAAGCTACCAAGCAGCAGCAGCAACAGCAGCAGCAGCAGCTACTAAGCAGCAGCAGCAGCAGCAGCAGCAGCAGCTACCAAGCAGCACCACCAGCTACCAAGCAGTAGCAGCAGCAGCAGCAGGGAAAGAGTGAGCTTTCCTTAGAGTCTTTCGTGCCCCAACATTTGGTCTCGAACAATAGCACATATAGGTGCTGCCTGAGTAATTGTAGAAGGGCGACGTGGAAAGACAGATATATCTGATATATCTGTTTTTTTTCACGAATAAATGCTGACGATGCAGCTAGCAGCGGTGTGCATGATTGACATCTAGGGGTTGTATGCGAACATGTGTCAGCGACCGAAGACTCCGTCGCAACGCTTGTGCATGCTCCCTGTCGCTCGAACATGGAACGCGGACTACCATGAGTGAAGCAAACAGCCCGTTCAAACATCTTACTGGGTTCTGTCATTCATGTGTGAAGTAAGTATCATCTTTTGATCTGCATGGATAGCGGATAGTGCATTCTGATTTGTACTCTTGGGTTGTGGGGTGGGTACATGCCTGTACAAGCTTCTTAAGGATATAATGAAATTAGCATCAGTATTAGCATCGTTTCACGACTCAGAGGGAATGCAACTACTCTCGGTTCTAACGAATTGGCTTTCTTCAGCACCAACAGCAGCCAACAACCCCAAACAGCAACAGCAGCAAAACGGAGCAGACAACAAGCAGCAGGCAGCCATGCAAGCAGCAAGCAGCAGCAACCAGCAAGCAGCCAAGAGCACCCAGCAGCACCAAGCATGCAAGCAGCAAGCAGCAGCAACCAGCAAGCAGCCAAGAGCCAGGCGCAGATGAGATGCCAGCAGCAGCAGCAGCGACCAAGCAGCAGCAGCGACCTGAAACCCTCTTGAATATTCAGAAAGAGTGCATAATTACGAAAGGTGTTCCCCGAGGGGATACATACCTAGAGTTTGTTTTGTGAAGCACGTCAATTCTCTCCTGGGGAACGTTTTCGTGAGCCTCTTATGGTTTTAGGAAAGTTTAAATCCTATGATGCTCCAATTCAATGCTCTCCGATGATTTGAGCCATGGGGCAAGTCTGTTTTCCTTAGAATCATTTAGAATGCATATATATATATTATATTTACGACAGGTCGCTTCCGAGGGGATAGATTACCATGTCGAACATTGCATTTTTGTTCCTGTCTCTTGTTCCTGATATATCAGATAATAGCACTCAGGTCCTCAGCTCCCACCCTCCTTGCTAAAGCAAGACAGACTCCAGCTAGCTACAGCTAGCTTTCGTGACAAGCACATGATGTCAAACAAACACGATTTCCAAACATGCGCCGGGCGCAAGCAACCAACATCTCAGAACCTGTTTGATGATGTCTAACCGAGTCTAACCAGCCGCATGGGAGTCGGTCCCGAGCCTGTCCAGCTGGGACAGTGAAAAATGTCCTCAGAGGGAAACCAAGATTGCGAAATCGACCTCTTGAGAATCAGAAATCATCTTCATTTCGAGCTAAGTGTCTTGAGCGGACCCAAAAAGTGAATCCCACCACGCTCTGCCTGACTTTCGCCCCACATGTTTGCAACACGCAAGGTGGGCCATGAACAGCTTGGAGCCGTGTTTATGCTACTTTCCTCATGGTGATGCATCCATAAAGTCACACCTTTTCAGAGATGTTGCCGGTCAAAAAGTTCCTGGGGCAGAAATCAGAAACGGCAAAAGAGAATACAAAGTGACAAAGGCCTTGCCAAAGGCCTTGCCATATGCTGAGGCGAGGGCTTTCTGATGCCGTACTGGTTGGGATCCAGAACCCCCACGCAAGCTGGCGGCTTCAATCAACGGATCCAGCATTCCCGCTGCTACCTCTTACAACCTAACAAACATGTCAGGCCCACTGAAAAGAATAAAAAGAACGAAGCCCAACACACCTTTCAACTTCACAAATTGTCAATCGGATCGAAGCTCCGCAGAAATCTCAGGCTCAAGTGCATGTGCACCAGAAGCTTTGAAGCACCCCCTTTCTTTCGGTTATGCAGGCGATCTTACTTCGATACCTCTCCCCTCTCACAAAGCGCCAAGAGTGAGAATTCAAGCGATTCCTGCAGTTCAGAGCTTGTCTTTCGCTACGGCGAAGCAAGTAGATGGCATTATGAACTGCATCTCACATCTATCAAATGTCAAGAAAAACAGCTTGGCCCGAGCTCCGGATCAATCTCCATGAAGTTTCGCTGCACTGCAGCCGCCACATCAGTCAGAAAAGTTCCATGTGATGTAGGGCCATGATCTATTGGGCAAAGCTTTGTCCCATCCTCGGCAGATTGGGACTGCACCTGCTCTGCTCACGGCTTTCTAAACCAATATCTGCCGAGGGTCCAATTCAACGAGACGATTTTGCCTGAGAAAATGACATGTGCGCCGTGCACCCCGAAGAAGCGCACAAAATGCATCAATAACCACAACCCTCAAATGAATCAATCTGCATAATTCAGTTGAACTCAAAAGAATCTGCGAAAGGGAAAACATTGCTCCAAACTCAATACCTTTCTAAACGGCCCTCACACCCCGAAGTGTGGGCCTGGAACGCACGAACGCCGCAAAGTGATGGTCCAGTGGTGGGCCATCCCGATCTGGCAAGGCAGTCTGCGCTGCCGTGGATGCAGCAGCAGATTCTGAGGACGACCTGGAACTGCTGGCGGAAGCACATGGGAAAAGGTTCCGTGTGTCTTGAACACTTGTCACCGCATTCCAAACTCATGTGTCATCGAATTCTCAACCCCGTACGCCACCTTAAGGTGGTGTCTTCCAGAAGAGCCTCGCCACGATGCTTTGGGCTTGCCGAGGCCTGTGAGCAAACGAAGGTCTCCTTGGCACCAGGTTCATGAAATCATGGCGATGGCCTACAACCTGCTAGCAAACTATATTAGATTAGACCTGTCTTCCTTTTCCTTTGTTTCTAGTAGCAATTGCCTCCAACCTAATAGTAGGCTCAAAGAGCCTGTCTTGGAGCCTGTCTCCTTGTGACGTCTTTCGACTCCCATAATAATCCAAGGCCTTTTCAATCCATCCATCCACTACATCATGACAACTGCAAAGATCACATCATTGAGACTATGTATTCGAATCCACCATTTGCTTATTCTTGCAGTTCAAGAGCTTCCAAGGCTCCAAAGGACCACGCAACGAAATCCAGGCTCTGCAGTTGGAAATGGCATGCCTGAGCACTCTATGACAACATCAGCCCACATTCATCAAGAGCATTCAAGAGCAGCTTGTGTGATGCCGCTATCAACAGAAACTGCCCATGATGGGATAGACAGTAAGGCGTCCAATGATGGGCCCTACAAATCTTATGAGATTCTTCCACGTGCCAGGGAACAAGCATGCTATTGTTCCGCAAGCATTGCCAAAGCCAATGACCTGCACACACGGCGTGCTAACTGGTGCTCCACACTGGCCGAGAGAACAATCAGCCAATCACGGTCAGAACCGAACCTGCTTCAGAAAGAAGAGGTCAGGTTCTGTTGCAACCGATGCGCCTGGGTGCAAGTGCCCGACTTGGAAGAGCAAACACGGACGGGAAAAAGGCCTAAGGGCCTAAATCAGCATAAGTCAGCCATGTTTCCAAGGTGGCACCTGCCCTCCCGCAAGGCCAGATCCTGCACTCGTCGAGCTGCATAAATGGGCTCCTGTGACAGCACAAGCGCAAGCAGGTTCAGTAAAGCAAACTTCACAGGCACTCACTGCACTTCAGCAAAAGGAGGCTGGCTGGAACACTTCGCCAGTAACTTCTCCATTTTATCCTTATGGAATCGGTTCAGTTCGTCTCTCAAATCCTCTTTCCATCCCTCGACAAGACAACTGTTTGCTCCGAGCACGGGAACAGCAGCACACAGGCCACGGCAGGAGGCACCAGCTGCAGCAACTCAGGATCCAAACCAAGGACATCACAGAATTCCAAGGTAGTAGGAAGGCCAATCCTGGGCTGAAGGACTGTTCAACCTCGTCTTACGCCGAATCGACTGCCCTTTTCTTGCAAACTGCACTGCTCAGGAGAGTTCCTATGGCCAAAGTCAGTGAAGATCTGCGGGTTGGACTCCAAAGCCAGCCATGGGCCTCGCAGCATCTCTCTGTCGGCAAGATATTGGCCAAGTTTGATCTGCGTGGAAACAAAATCGGCAGAAAATCCTGGTCAACAATAGTCACTAGTCGTTGTTCTTGACTCGGTCAGCCTGTTGAGCCAGCACCTTGCTTCCTGGAACTTCAACACAGACTGAGTCAGAATTGCTTACAGTAACTTGACTGAAAATTACTGGCAGGGCAGACAGGAGCTTGAGGGGCTGTAACATCAAAGCCTTGATTAAGGTTCAATGTTATTTGAGCCGAAATCTCGGGTCCTCAGCTGGTCATTGATCTTTGCCAACTCATCCACCGCTTCCATGGCCCAAACGCAAGGCACGCAAAAGTCTAACGCTAGCTAAAGCTAAAGGTCATGCGGCCATGTTCCGTCTCAAGTGAACTACCTCTTGACTCTTGCTGGACTTGGGTTTGTGGGCTGCCTTATTTGACACCTCGGAGCCTCGACAGCCACTCATGCAAACTGCATCCCACCGAACACGGGGTCAAGCTTGGGCACCCCTACGCCCACACCACTTCACTCCTTCCTCGGCACCATTGCCTTGGAGAACAAATCGATCAAGACGTTCGCTCTCTCTCTCTCTAATCAGGCTCTCTGCCTTCGACGGCTTGACGTTCTGAGGAAAAAACTATTTGTCTGGCCTTCTCTGCCATCCTGCGAAATATGGTGTCAGAACCCTAGAGTTTCAAAGCAGTGAGGAAGGTAAAACGATGGATACACCTTACACTGGAAACCGGCTGTGCACATGTCCGCCGGCCCATACCTTCTTTATCCTTCTTTATTCTTCTGCAATTTTACCTTTTCCTTTTCCCTCAAAAAGGAGACTAGAACGGTTTTCGCAAGACGGGGACTTTTCAGTGAGAACTAGATGGTCGGACGGTCCAGCAAGCCCACATCCATTGCTCACTCGCGGAAAGCAATTTGGGATGATACGCTGCGGAAAGTTGATGTGCACCATGTCATCAAACAACATGTAAAATAAATGCGTGCTCTCCGCATTATGCCTCCGCATTATGCCTTGGGGGGGGCGCCAAGCAAGGCCCTTTTTGATCTTTATGAGATGACAGTTCGGGCAAGATGATGCACGGAACCCACGAGGCTCTCCATCAATGGCCCTGCTCACGCTAAGGAAGGCAGGTTCTATGGGGTCTCGATGGGATGTCCGAGGAAAAAGGAGGAATGTACCTCCAATGATCCTTCGAGACTACGGAAATGGACAAATCGGCCCATGCTTAGCAGAGCCTTGTCCAGGGAAAGGAAATAACTTCAAACTATGCAGTCAGAATCTCTTATGCGGATGTGTTGGGCATTCCAAATGGATGAAATGCATGGAAGCGTTCAAAGTCTTTTCAAGCCCTTCGAAGCGAAACAGGTCCGGAGATTTCTGGACTAACTAATTACATGTACAAACGAGATAAAACACTAATGAGGCCAGAGACCAGTCCAACAAAAATGTAGACTTGCTTGAAGAATACCTCACGGGTGAGTTTCACATCCCTGACCGTGAAGCCTGGCGAGCTGTCCTGAGCCACACCGATAGGCTGACGGGCAAAAGATCGTGGATCACCATGGGCCTTCGAATTCGTTTGCTTCATATGTTAGCTTTCTTTAGGTTGGAGGCCATCGCTTTTACTATTTTTTACTATTTGGTTGGAGGCCATCGCTAGTAGGTTGGATGATGCCATCGCTAGTAAAGTAGGTTTGAGGCCATCGCTATTAGGTTGGAGGAGTTTCACTTTGATGCAGAAGTCTAGTATAGTCTACCCGGGGGTCAGCCTAGCGGGCCTAGCGGGTGTTGTTGCTGTGGAGTGACTGCTATGAAGCGCACCAAGTACTGTCGTTCCACGTCAATCAGCACATTGGTTGGGATCTGATTCACGAAAGCCGGCATAGCCCGACATTTCTCCGTCAAGTCGGCACCGTGGGCGCAAACACGCATCCCGAGCAAGAAAAGGAAGGGCAGCGGCAAAGAGGACAAACACTCGATGAAGAAAGGCATGAACTGGAACTCAGCACGGAAGGCCATAGTTACGCCACTCACCTCAAAGCTTCATCTTCACTTGTCGCATTGAAAAAACATGGATGGGGAAGCCCGCATCCAAAAAAAGAAGATGCATCGTTATTAGCCTCATGTTCCATTTGTTTTAGCCAGAGGGCCAAGAAGTACATGAAGCCAATGGATGCAAGGCCTTGCAAAGCCACAAAGCTCCCCGCCAGTTCTCGGCCGACGCACTTCAACAAGGCTTGCATGGCATTCCAACTCTCAACGCCAACCGGGAAGTTCATGTGATTCACTATCTGACCTTGAGACAGAGCGGTCCAAGAACATCAAGAAACTGAAATGAAATTGAAAAAAAGCACCCACCAAAAGACAAACTTAATTTGAGGCCCAAGGCGCAACACCAGCAATCCAGGCTCTTGTCCAATCCTAACAGAAGGTGACTCTGAACATATGCTGACAAAAAGATCACCGCGCTGGAGATGGAGAAGCTGACCACAGAGATGGCCTGGAGAAAGAGGCAAATAGACTAGTTTATACCCGCAAGGAAAACTCTTGCCCTGCAAAATGCGCGCAATTTTGCCTCTCAAGGGGAAAACATGAGCAAAATGTTGAAAAAAACTGCAGGCATCCTGATTCAGAGTAGCCCAAAAAAGCATGTCGTCCCCATTCGCGGTATGGTTGACAAAGTTTGTCTCCAGCGCTTGAGTCGCCACAAAAAGGAGCAACATCGAGCACCAGGCCGCGAGGTACTTTCGCCATTCTTGGCCTGGCGGAGAAAAGAATACAAACAATTATGAATAAACCGATTCAACCTTGACGAACTTGCATTGAAGCCTATCTCTTCCTCTCTCCATGCGGCACTGACAGTTGGGTATGGACCAAACACACCGCAGGGGAAGGACCACTATCTCTCAACATGTTTCCTTCGCCTGCGGGTGCATTGAATCTAAGCTCGGAGTTGGACGCTCAACGCATTCGCCAAACGCGGCCTGATACTTCGCTCCAGCGAATCTTGAAATCCGAAACGAAAATGTGGAGTCGTGTGGTGGCTAAATGCAGGTCGGATGACCTGCCAGTCGACTTCAGCGCAAACCCAAGCCGAACAGCAGAACAAGGCCTAAACAACAGCTTTGCCGGCCTGAGGGCATTTCCCAGCATGAAGACGCAGAACGTGGCCAACACACTGTAGATCAGCAAAGTTGCCACCGTGAATCCATTGAAGCTCAAATTCGGGTACTTCCAACCCAGAATTATCGCTGACGCCACGTCACAAAGCGCTGGTATCCCAATCAGAAGGTGCAGCAAGACTGGATGGTCTGCCATCATCCTCTTACACTGGGCGTCAGAAACATCGGAATCACTTGGTGTCAAGTTGCCAGTGGCCGTTTGTCATGTCAATGTACTTTCTCATCTTTCTCTCTCTCTCTCGACTGTTGTACGCCCACTCTTGCTCAGATTGTTTAAGTCTAAGTCCAAGCACTCATGGCCCATGCCTCACACTGCGGGTTCTGTCAACTTCGTCCACCACAGGAGACAAATTGGAATGCGACTCCAAGATTTGTGCCTGACGTGTTCGACTGTCATAATTGAGGCCATGTGCGCTATCAAGCAGTCTCTCTCTCTCTGTTTTTGTCTTGCTTGTCTACATAACGTTCTTGTCGAGTTGAAATCTGAAAATCTGAAGACCGACCTGTGCCGTCTTGCTGATGGATCCCATGTGAGATCCACGATTTGGCCTTGGAAGGCTCAAGTGACGGTCTTCACGAATCATGCCAGGCAAAGACTCCTGCGGCCCATCCTCCTTGTCAAAACCGTACGCAGTCTTACCGTGGCATCAGGTGGAATAGAAAACACTTATTAAACTGTTGCAGACTGCTTTTACTTTTGCACTTCCAGTCCTGGAGGAATGTGCGGGGGCGTGGTACTGGAACGATTGAAGCCCCACCCTCGTCGAATGAGCATGTGGTGTGAAAGCTTGCGGATTGCCCTGAGCGGCCTGCATCCCCAGCCTGCGATGAATCCTTAGAAAAAGGCCAATCGATCCAAATTGCTTTAGAAGAATGCAATCTCAATCTTAGATGGTGTTGACAGGGGTCCCGGTCTATGGATGTGTTTGCCTTGAGCAGCCCCACCATCAATAGACTCAGTCAACTCTGAATCGCCCAGCGTCATAAAGAGCACCAAGTTCACGGAGCACTGCACTTTGCATTTCAAAAAAGCTAGGAACTCTCCCAGGTGTTTGTGATGGTGACGAAGTTGGGCCTGATTTCCTCAGAGGTGGAGATGTTAGTAACAATCGCCAATACATCTGTCCACCTGCATCAACCGTTTTGATTTTCACGGGACAATGAAGGCAAGGCGCTTTCGGACAGAATGCCGCTCTGGGGATTTGATAGTGCCAATTGGATCGCTCATTCTTGGGACCGAGTGTCGGGAAGGCACTCCCTCAGGATGTCGCTGTGATCGACTTTGTTCTAGATGTTCTATACCATGAAACTAGAAAACAAACTGACCCCTTGTATTCTCAATGCATGCAAGACACCGTTGCACTCAAGTTTTGCACAGTGGAAAGCACTTGCAACAATGTCTGTTGATGTTGCCGGTGTGTTTCTTCAATCTTCAAGAGAATCGCCTCCATCCTGGTATCAGTCACTTCACTGACTTGTGTAGATGGCTGCATGAAGGATCGCCCTGCCATCTCTCTGGACTTGGCATCCAGCATCATGACCCAAGTGGATCCCTCGCACAAATGGAAGGGAACACTACGTCTGAGCTTGCTGCTGCAGCCATGAGCATCCATCAAACCAAACATTTTCAACCCTTGCCAGTCCTGGAGGTGTTTTGAGGTTAGGAGCCGGACACCTTGTTGAACCTGTTTCTGGCGTTTGCGCGGGGGTGCGGGGAAGGGTAAGGTAAGCCCCTAATTACCCCGCACACAGCACAGCCCGCTTAGTTGCCCCATTCCATGGTCTGACAACGTGGTGACAAGTGACAATCGGCCGACGACTAGGACTACGACTCCAAGGGCGACAACAACAATAAGGTACAAACAAAAACTGCAGCCCCGTTACAACATATCTTCTTCCTTTGTCTTCACAAAGGGTAGAAACAAAATCTGCAACCCCGTCGTAGTTTTTTGACCCCCGCGAAAACAACCAGCCAACAAGTACAAGTACTTTTACCACTAGTGGCAGTGTTTGTACTAGTGCTAGTCCTAGTGGTGCTAGTACTAGTGGTAGTCGTCGTCGTAGCAGTAGCAGTAGACCGAGGAGCAGCAGCAGTAGGAGCAGGAGTAGGAGCAGTAGTCGTCGTAGTAGCAGCAGCAGCAGTAGTAGTGGTGGTGGTGGTGGTAGTAGTAGTAGTTAGTAGTAGTTAGTAGTAGTTAGTAGTAGTTAGTAGTAGTAGGTAGTAGTAGTAGTAGTAGTAGTAGTAGTTGTAGTAGTAGTAGTAGTAGTAGCACCCGTAGATAAAAATGTAGATTAAAGATCATGCACTTTTTATTTGCCAGAGGCATTAATTTAATATCTGTAAGTTATGGCGCAAAAAGCATTCATGATATAAAAAGCCTATGGCAAATAGAAGTAGTCGTAGTAGTAGTAGTAGTAGGAGTAGAAGTAGTAGCAGTAGTAGTAATAGGAGGCGTAGCAGTAGTAGTAGCAGCAGCAGCAGTAGTTGTTGTTGTAGTGGTAGTAGTGGTGGTAGAAGTAGTAGTAGTAGTAGTAGTAGTAGGAGTAGCAGGAGTAATAGTAGTAGGAGTAGTGATAGTGGTAGTGTTAGTGGCAAGGGCAGTGGCAGTGGTAGCGATAGCGGTGGTAGGGGTCTGCAGCCCCATTGTTACTTTTCGACCCCTCAGAAGGTGTTGTTTTCTTTACCCACGCCTAGAAACTCAGACTGCAGCCCCATTGTTGTTTTTTGGACCCCCCCAGAACAACAACACTTCAAGAACACTAAAATCGGATCAGCCCAGACTTCAGTGAAACAAGTCCTACTTAGGAAACCAACATTCGCCCAAACCTTCAACCGCATACCTTGTCGCCTTGAAGTTCCAAAAGTTACAACATGTGACAATGTTGGGCGGCTGGTTTTGCTTCCAACAACAACAACAACAACAAAGACAACAACAACAAGGTACAAACAAAAACTGCAGCCAGGTCGTTGTTTTTATTTGATGTCACGGCCATATGGGCCTCCCAGAGGCGTGCAGTTGTTTTCGAACGCTGCACGTTTTGCTTTTCCGCGTTTGTTGACCAACATGTTGATGTTCGTTTACATGTGGGGGACAAGTGATGTTCGTTCGCGCCTGGAGCGCGCCACAGTACGTCGTGGACACCGCAGCAGCATGGAGCGGGGGATGGGGTCACCGGTGACTCCACCTGCCCCTGCGGCCGGGTCACCCGACACTTGGGCGCAAACAAGGTCGGCGGGTTCTATTTTTGGTGGCTGTGTGTATGATTGTGGCCGCAGCTCACTTGATACTTGTTAGTTGCAGCTCAGCTGGTGGTCGGCCGACGCAAGAAAGTTGCGCAGAGATAGTCCACTCAGGCTTGCGACGTCAAGCATGTGAAGAGCCAATGGACGAAGCACGCCAAAGTCAATGGACGAAGCATGCCAGGCTGCGGAATAGAGTTTGCCAGTGGGTCTACTGCCACAAAGAACGGAAACACACTTTTTTCGGGAACGTCGCAACAGGAAACCTGCATCGCGTGGCCTGCTCACACAAATACGGGAGGCCGAAAGGATGTGAAACCTTGTTAACCACCCCCTCCCGAAAACAACTAGCCAACAAGCACTTTTACCATCAGTGGTAATGTTTCTAGTAGTGGTAGTACTAGTGGTACTAGAACAAGTAGTAGTCGGCGACGTAGTGGTAGTAGTAGTAGTAGGGGTAGTAGTAGTGGTAGTGGTAGTGGTAGGGGTAGTCGTAGTGGCAGTGGTGGTGGTAGTAGTGGTAGTAGTAGTAGCACCAGTTGCACTACTAGTAGCAGCAGCAGCAGCAGCGGCAGTAGTAAATACCAGTACTAGTACTAGTACTAGTAGTAGGAGGAGGAGGAGTAGTACTAGTAGTAGTAGTAGTAGTAGTAGCGGTAGCGGTAGCGGTAGCGGTAGCGGTAGTGGTAGGAGTAGTGGTAGTAGTAGTAGTAGTAGTAGTAGTGGTACTAGTACTAGAACTAGTACTAGAACTAGTGGTACTAGTACTGGTACCGCTGGTAGTAGTAGTCGTGGTGGTGGTGGTGGTAGTGGTGGTCGTCGTAGTAGCAGCAGTAGCAGTAGTAGTGGTAGCACACCTCTGTAAAACTTCTACTTGCAACCTTTACCACATCCTAGAAAGGAAAACTGCAGCTGCCTTGTTGGTTTTGGGACCCCACTCAAAAGGTCTTGTTGCCTCTACCCCCTCTGCAGCCCCAACGTTGTTTTTTGACCCCCCTCCAGACTCCAGAACAACACCTCCAAGACAATAAAAACGGACCAGGCCAGACTTCGAAACAAGTCCAACAAATCCACCTACTTACGAAACCAACATGTCCTCAAACCTTCAACCGTATCCCTAACCTGCCCCTTGAGTTCCAGACTTATGACAACTATGTTGGGCAGCTGCTTTTGTTTCTACCAACAACCAAAACAAAAAACAACCACCACAACAACAACTACTACTACCACCGCTACCACCACCACTGCCACTGCCACCACGACCACCACCACCGCCACCACCAGCTGTTGCTGCTGCTTTCTTCTGCTATCTACTGCTACCGACTGCTTCTACTACTGCTTCTACTTCTGCTTCTACTACTACTACTACTACTACTACTACCACTAGTACTACCACTACGACTACGACTACTACTACTACTACTACTACCACTACCACTACCCACTACCCACTACCCACTACCCACTACCTGCTACCTGCTACCTACTACCTACTACCTACTACCTACTACCTATACTACTACTACTACTACTACTACTACCAACAACTACTACTACTAATTACTACTACTACTACTACTGCTACTACTACTACTAATTACTACTACTAATACTAATACTAATACTAATACTAATACTAATACTAATTACTACTACTATTACTACTACTACTACTACTACCTACTAATACTACGCCTCCCCCTCCCTGCTCCTGTTCCTGCCCCTGCTGGTGCTACTGCTCCACCTCCTCCCCCTCCCCCTCCTCCTCCTCCTCCTCCTGCCGCTGCATCCTCCCGCCATGTTTCCGCCTTGCTCGAGACAATGTGCTTAGTTTGGCCGTATCCTTGTTAAGCAGGCTCCACTTTTTGCGCATGTTTCCCGCGGCTCTTGCGCGTGGGTTCTCCAGGAGGAAGGTTGACAATTTCAAAGGCGAGGACCCATACCAAAACTGATTCAGTGGGGCCAGCGGGCGCAAATTAATGGCTACCAGGTTTGTAAATGGGCTACCAGGAGGTTCTCACCGGCAACCTCTTTGGAATTTATCTGTTGGCATGGGCTCAACAACGTGAGCAAACGATCCCAAAGTCTGGCAGTAGTTCGCACGCTGGGTGACAGTCTCGCTTGCCAGCTTGCACCATTGCCACCTGGGCCGCGCTGCTGAAACGGCCTATCATTAATGTCTGACATTGTAGATGCCATCTGCGTTGCTTCTGAAGACTCCAAGTTGCCATGCTCTTGAGGTATGTGATATCTCTTGCGCAAGGCCCAACCTTCTCTCCAATTCTTCCATGCGACAAGTTGCTCCTTCATCTTCTTGTCTCAGCTCTGGGATGATCGTTCCAAGATGATTACAGTGTACTGTTGCTTGATACATGCGTCTGTCAGCGTCGTACTTGAGCTCCTCTATGTTTGCCCTGGTAGCAGCGCATTCATCCTTCACAACGTCATAGAGCGTCCTTGAAACTCTCAATTCTTCCCGTAGGCGTGCTTCTCTTGATGCTGTTGCACGGGATTTGTCACTTGGCACGTCCGCGGGCGCCAACGGCATTCCGCAGGATGGCGATGCCTCCTTCCCTCTCTTTGCTGATGCTTTTCATTGGATCTGGGCTCGCCCTTTGGCGAGGGATGTTGGGATGTGTTCCTTGGCCTCGGGGATCTTGCCATTGGACGCAACTTGGGTCTTGCTGTCCTCGTGACATTGGTACTTCTTCAACGGCCTCGCGCCCAGACACTTGTGAACCTGTCGGCGTTGTAATGATCGATTCGCCTTGAGATTCAGCACTGGCATTCCTTTGCGCATCAAGTGTCGGCTGAGATGCCCCAGCTGGATCCAGCTGGTGCAGCAAACGAATAAGTCGTTCCACTCATTCCTTCCGAACTTGGCATCATTGTAGGTTGGCCGTCGGGGATCTAAGGCAATAGCCAGCCAGGTAGGATGCCCTTTCGCTGATATCCAGTGGTAGTCCCGTAGCTCAGCTCGCAGCAGAACGCTACGGCTGATAACCTTTGAGTCAGCGAGCAGCGCGGTCGACCATAAGCGTGCTTCCTTTTCATCACTTGAGCCAAATGTATATGGTAGCATGTAGTACAAAAGTATGTCCTTTGCACTAATTATTTACCGCTGCGTGATACTCACTTGAGCGGGGAAACACGAAAGGTAGAGACGGACCAGGTAGCTGTCGGGACCTTTTCTGGTGAGGGACTGTCTCCGGTGTTTCAGGAACGTGCCCCTTGGTCAATCATGGCTGAAACCAACAAAGCCAGAGAGCACAAGAAGGCTCGAGAGGAACACCGTTGCGGTCAGATTGCGCCACACGGCTCTGCAGAGAGGCTGCGTTGCGTCGACGCTCGTTTGTGTAAAGGTGTGTGAAAACAGGCGCGCGTAAAAGTCGCAATGCGTAAACGCTCGCATGTGTACCAGCTATGGTCCCACAGCTGCACGCACTGTGCCACGATTACAGGCCGCAGTGACCAACCCCCTTGTAAGGATAGTGCTGGAGGGGTGCGGCCGGCACTGCCAGGGATGGACGTCACGCTATGGTGGGTGTGCTCCACGATGCGGAAGGATTTCGCCACGCT